GCACACCCGGAGGTCCTGGGTTCGAGTCCCGGGTCGGGCCAAGTTTAGTTATTGAGTCTTCCTGTATAGTAAGTCTCAGTAACAGCCCGGAGTTTGGAAGTTGGCGGTGTTTCACCCCCGTGCCTCGGAGAGCACGTAAAGCCGTCGGTCCTGCGCCTTAACTCTCACCGGTCGTGTCGAGTGGTCGTCCCACCGGAGTATGAGAGTGATAGGAATAGAGAGTGCACTTGTGTCTGCGCGTACACTTGAGCACTATAATATCTCCTGCGCAGTTGGCTAATCTCATTGAGATTGGCCGCCGTGGCCGGAATCGGCTAGGAGAACATCATCACATCATCATCATCATTCTATACGTTAGCAGTCAGTTTTAAAAAAAAATTCATGTACAAATTAGACATTGTTAGTATTTTATTATATGTATCGAGATTAGGTAGGTACTTAAAACAAAAATAATATTTATTTTCGCCATGTTAAAACTGATTGATGAATACTGCACTGCACACTCTCATAAGAGTGTATTTTTTTAATAAACAAGCTCTTTGAATCAGCCCTCATAGTAATTAAACTAGCGACTCACCCTCGCTGCGCTCAGTTTCGTCCCTAGGTTGATTTACCATACAAACTTTCATCCTCACTGACACCCCCTTAAGGGATGATTTACGGCATAAACAATATTCTATATCTTTCCTAGGGTTTCAAACTACATTCTTACCAAATTTCATATAAATAGGTCCGGTAGTTTTTGAGTTTATTCGTTACAAACATACAAAAATACAAATCTTTTCTGTTTATAGTATTAGTGTAGATTATAATATATTATTCGTTATATTCATTATTTATGCTCTTTAGGAATAACATTGGTCTTTTCTTTTCAAAGATTAAGTAGTAAGTATGTACTTCAATATTGATGATCTTAATCCTGTAATAATTACATAATGGTCTATAATATTTTATTGGTTGTTCGTTTTACAATATAGACTTTATATTGTAATAACAGAAAACCTATTTGAAAGAAAGAAAACTATTTTCGATTTAACATAAAAACCTTCGTAGGTAGTTTTATTGAAAGAACGACGGTTTCGACTTAGCTTGTCCCTCACGTTAGGTATTTTTCTTTGAACCGTGAAATCCTTACTACGCAGCTTTTGGTTAAATTTAAATTAACAAAAGCTACGAATGAACTGAATATAATAGATGTGATGTTTTTTGAACACAAATAAATTTAATATTACCGAACCATAGACATTAACGTCGTTATAATTTGTCAATGTAGCTTAAAAAATTCAGCCTAACTATAAATCTACATATAATAAAATTGTAACTATGCTGGATCTGTACATTAAGAGAAGGCTCGCGCAAATTTAACGCTGATAAGTATTCTATGTATACCAGATATGAAATTAATGCGATAATTTAAAAATATGTTTTTTCAATCCTTTTTCTATATATTGTTAGAACAGAAACGCAATTGAATGAAATTTTCTTGATGGTTTTATTTTTTTTAAATATGCCTTTTTGAGAGATTTTTTTATAAAGATCGTTCGAATACTCTTGCTTACGTTTGCCAGAAATTAGCTACAATAAATAGGGAGCTAGGTATACTATGTCATTTTGCTTACATACCTAAATCAATATCGTCTACATCCACCCACCATTCGTCTACAGCTAACTTAGATCGCCAGATAAACGTGACTCTCACTTTACATAATATCACTTTTATGTACTTGAATGTAACCTTTGTGGCGTAGGTAATGCTAACCGTCCGTCGCCATTTTTTCTTCATTCTAAACTTTCGGCGCACTATAAAACTGGTATGTATATGTATGTACCTAATACCTATATGAATAGAAGAAACTTGAATGAATATAAAATATTATCGAAAACCCACTAAAAATGCCCTAAAAATGTCACTTAACATAAAATATTTGTATTTAAAGTTAAAAATATGTTCATACGAGCTTTATCCGCTTCATACCTATATCTATTATAGTTAAATGAAATAGAGATAAAATAGGTTAAAAATGATAATTAGCTGCATTCCTTTGCCAATCAAGATAAAATAATAAAAGAGTTAGTTAATTATTTCGCAAACTTGACGCGAGGACTGAGGAGGGATCATGTACGTCGCTATTAGAGCGTGATAATCCTGTTATTGGTATGTTGGCAACGCATCCCGTGCTCTAAGCTGGCCGCCAGCCAGAGAGTAGCTTGCGATTACGTCTCACTGAGATCAATGGATATGTTGGTTTAAACCTGCGTCTGCGGACCTATACATATGTATCTATCTAATTGTGTCTGGGCAAACTTTGCAGATAATCTATACATATAACAAACTTCTAACTGAGTCAAATCTGTACCTACATTAAATATTTTTTGGGAAAATCTTATTGAAATTTAGTCATTATTATCGATAGAGAGACCGAAATTTTAGAAATTTTCTCTGTTTGTTTGGGAACGCGTCACGAAAACACCACTGAACGGATTTTAATTAAATTTGGTATGATAATAGCTGGTTATCCGGATCAACATATAGGATACTTTTTACTGCGGAAAATATCTCATCTCTGAGAAATTTATAGGTAAGTACTAACCGTTTAAAGTGTACCAAGAGTTCATCCCTTACCTACGCCTACGTAGCAAGGGACGAACCCGAGCGGAGCGAGGGTGAGTTGTTAGTTCTTCAATAATGATGTAAAATTAACGAAACTTGAAGCTTTATTTTTGTTGAGGACTGAGGTCTATCCGTTTAGTTATTCTTAGATCTTTATAGTAATTATTTACTTATATAACGTTCTAATTTAATTTTACTGAACGTCGAAACTATTTAATAATAGTCTATGCATTTTGTTTATTCAATTTTGAATTTCATTTAACTTTATTGCTCTTAACTTTACAGAACTCCAGCCGCGCTCAATATAAACGTCCACTAAAGAGAAGTATGCAGGAGCAGAAAATAGAAAACACAAAACTGCTGTAATAGTGCACTGGCAATTAAAATCGATTGATCGTTTGTAGGTCCTCTTCCTAAGTTGACTTATTGCACACAGTCCTTACTCTTCAGTCTCGACAAGCAATAGCCATTGGGAGTCGAGCGTAAGCACTTTTTGAATAAAAAGTTTTAGTTTTCGATTGCATATGAACTAAATATAAAGTTGTATAAAATCATAATATTTTTTGTAGGAATATTTCTCTATAATTATTATATAAGTAGGTAAGTAAAACCTACACTTTTCGATCTTAACTACGAGTACGTAGGTATGCATTTTTGTACTACTATAACATCAAATAAAATTTGATTGTTATTATATGGTTATTCTTTCCTAACAAGTAGTTTATATGATCTCTTAAATTCTATTATTGTCTAGACAGTTACTGTCTATAGCATGCAGCTGCCAGCTTCGCAGTTAGGTATAGTGTCTTTGCGCGTTTGAAATCGTTGTTTTAACTTGTTCTAATCGCATAAGTTTAAACAATAATGTTTGGCTGTAAATAACTCATATTATCAAGAACAGAATAAATTATTTATACTTTATAGTGGGTATATCTATTTAAAAGCAGGTACTTCTTTGTTCTAAATATAAATTAATTCGCCAACGTTCAAAATCTAACAGACAAAAAATTTAACATTGTAGGCATCCGTAATAAAGGTGTATAATCACTGAAAGTTTTTTTTTAAATAGGTATAATACTGAGAATATTTAAAAGGATGGTATATTTATTTATACCTAAAGTACTTACTTAATATTTTTTGTACCTAATACTTATATAACAACAAACTTGCGAGTTGCGACGTTTTCAAAATTGCATCCTATAAACCTTCAATCAACAATACTACGTGTACGTGTCACATATAAAATCAAAGCTAAATTCTGTCCGCGCGAATATGCACATAAACAGCTTCATTTGTACAAGTATACTAACGAACCAAGTCAAAGTCTTATAATAGTTTTATTTTCAACCTAATCAGCACCACACACCTTGTAATAAAGTCACAAATCTTCAAATTATCATCAAACACTTACAATCGTTTCGCAAGTTTTATAATATTTATTGTTAAATCAACCTTATATTTTAAAACATAAATCACTTTTTCCTGTTGTTGCTTTATGATCTAAATCGTTATGTTTTGTTTCTGTTTGCATTCTATTCTACATGTACTTATCGAAAATAAGACATTCTGGCTGAAAAAGTTCTTCTTCGCGCATTAATACTTTTAAATACGCAACTTTTAAATACATATTGCGTCCTTGTGAACGTCTTTACGTTGGCAGCGTTTGAATAGAACTAAACGAAATATACGCTCACTTTGCAAGTGAGCTTATATTTAAAATACCGAGACGGATTTCTTACGCCGACCCGTTGTCTAGTAGTATTGTTGATCGAAGCTTGTAATTAATTGGCTAAGTGTTACACAACAATCACGACATAAAACTTAAAAAGAATTACAATAATTTTATACTACTATCTGTTCCGGCCTCGGTACTTTTTTTGATAATAACTAAGAAACTTCTCATTCTTTAAAATTAGTAGGTAAAAAGTTGAGAAAAGTTATTATGCACGTTTAATTTTATTCCGATATGAATTTTCCTCTCTTTTTATGTTCCAAATGAAGATATTCAGACAAAAGAAGAAAAGGATTTTTTTTATCCTGTGCAAGTAGGCAGTATTTTCGTCATAGGTACCATATTTATTCATTTATAAAAATATAATAAGTAATATTATAAATAAAAAATAAATAAATTTCATTATTTTATAAAAAATAATTTACTGACACTAACCTTACATTTTGTGTTGCAACATTGCGTAAAAAGAAACTTGTGTCAAAAATATTCTTCGCGGGCTTTTGAATGTCAAATCATTGTTGACAACCTCGTCCAATTCTAAATAAATTGAACTACTATTTCTTGAACAAAATATTAAAAAGTGGAAAAAAAATTAAGTTTCAATATAAGAAAATGTTATAAAGTGTGATTTAACATATAAAATATTACTTAGTAAAAATGACTTCGTTACTATCTGCAGAACTTTCTGCTACTTGCAATGCTTTAGGAACACTTAATAAGAAAACTGGAAAATATATGATAGACGATTTTACTCTTAACACTGTTAAAGATCTTATAAGATATCTTCGACGTGACGGTGAAGATCATGAAATTCGTAGGCATCTCGGACAAACTAAGGTCTTGCAAACAGACTTAATACCAATGCTTATTGATCACTGGGAAAAAGAAGAATTGTTTGATGTTACACTTAGGTATGTTTTAGTTTGTTTCAAATGTATGAAAGACCTGAAATTTATCATTTTATTAAAATAATCTCACTATTTTATTATAGGCTTCTTGTAAATTTGACCAACCCAGCTCTTCTGTTATATCATGAAGAAGTGCCAGTAGAAAGGACCGCACGTCATAATTATTTGCAAATACTATCACATTTACAGTACTATAAAGAGGAAGCTTTTGCTAAAGTTGAAACTTGGCAGTTTTTTGCTAAAAAGTTAACAAAGATATTAGAAATTGTAAGTACAATATATTATCATAAGTCAGTGACTTGATACTATCATTATAACTATTTCCATTTATAAAATATTTTTAATTGTACTAAGATTGTCTATAACTTAAATACTAAACATAATATTTAATACCAGTCTATATCTATAAGAAATTTTCCCTTTGACCTTATATTTCTAATAGGATTGGTCTGAAAGAGATGAAGACACAGGGTTAATAATTGAAAGGATTTTAATATTAATTAGAAATGTACTGTATGTGCCTGCTGACTTAGATAAAGAAAGAAGACCAGAAAATGATGCTAGTGTCCATGATCAGGTAATTCATCCTTCAGTCATTAACTTGTTTTGTTCTGTGTATATTCCACTTCACTATTTCTCAGAGAAGAAAAGTAATTTTATAACTTTTAATGTTTTTAGCTAATTATATTAAGTAAATATCTAGCTAAAAATTACAAAGTATTCTTTCCTCTCATGAGGAATACTATATAATCATTATTTTAGCAGTACAAGGACTTTTGTTCTGTTTTTATGATACTTCTTTCTTAGATTTATGTGAATATTGGATATTTTAAATAAATTATTTTTCTAATATAAAATCTCAAAAGAAAGTTTTATTTAAAATGTCAATATGATATTTATTATGGTTTTGAGATTTTTTCCTTAATAACTATTACAATTTTTAGGTACTCTGGGCATTAAACCAAGCTGGAATCTTGGATATCATTCTGTACATGTCATCCGAAAACGAAAAGCAATATTTTATGCACATATTAGAAATTATTTCACATTTATTAAGAGAACAGAATCCAACAAGTTTAGCCGACTCTGCTTTGCAAAGAAGTGTAGACGAAAAGTTAAAAGATGATCAAGAGTTACTTATGATGCGAATGTCAGAAAGTAAGGAGAGAATGAATAAGGTTAAACAATATTCATCCACTAGGTAATTTTGTTTGCAGCTTTTTTTAACTTGCTCAAATATATATCACAAAAATAATGTCAAAATGCACTAAATGTAAACTTTTATGTAATGGGATATTAATATATTTTAAACATGAAATATGTATATAAATTTTGTATTGACAGGAATAACATTGCTTTATTTTATATTTTATTTTTATAAGATTTTAGTTGTTAATGGTAAAAATAAATGACATTTTTTTTTAATTAAGGCATTCCCGCTTTGGTGGTACATATGTTATTCAAAATATGAAATCTATATCAGATAATGACATAATATGTCTAAAACCACTGAACAATATATCTAGCCTAGACTTTAATGGTAGTAAAAAGTCTAAATTAGTCAGACCTAAGAACAGAAGACCGACAGAAAGTGGTACAATGGAAAGAAGATCAGCTTTTGCCATAAGGTAAGTTTATTTTTGATGCTGTAAGTTGATTGTTTCTATGTGAATATTTGACATGTTAAATAAAACTATCTCTTCGATTTTTTCGCGGATTTATTTTAATTTTTGATTCAAAAATACAAATGCTGTACAGCAATCATGGTCACGGGAGAGACTAAGGTTTTAAATGTCTCAAAGGCATTATTATTGTTGTTGCAGACAACCTACCTACAAATTAACGAAATGAATTAAAAAGAAACAAAAATGGCATTAAAGGACCTTACAATATTTGTTAATTTTAATATTAAGCATTTTTATAATTTTAATAAGATTGATGAATTTTTATTGTTTTTTTTATTTTTATTTAGGATATTTTTGTTTTTTTTTATTACAGATTATTCTTAAAAGAGTTTTGTATAGAATTCCTAAACAGCTCGTATAATCCAATGATGCACTACGTGAAGGATGTACTGGTTAGAGCTAAAGCGCAACAAAACGATGAATCTTATTATTTATGGGCAATGAAATTTTTTATGGAATTTAACAGAGGCCATAATTTTCAAGTTGGATTAGTCAGGTATTTTTTCCATATTTGACTTTTCAAGTTCTCTCTTTTTCGAAGTTGGTTAAAAAAAACATTCAATTCAATGCAATCCTTTTGTTAATGGCTTTAAAGCTTGCCAGTTGAGCACAGATTACTTCGCCAATGTCACGTAAATAACACCTGTACTTTTTGTCTTTACATTGTATGTGCAATAGAGATTAATAAATAAAATATTTTAGTGAAACAATGTCAGTACCGATGTTCCATTACGTTCAACAACAGATGGAAAAATATTATGACATGATTAAAGTTGAGAAAAAGAAGTTTTCGACTTGGGTGAGAAGATTGCACTTAGCGCTAAGAGCTTATAAGGAACTACTGAATACACTATTAGCTATGGACAAGAGCAGTGATGTTTCAGTGAAAGAGTCTGCAAAAGTACTCAAGAGTAATATCTTCTATGTTTTGGAATATAGAGAATTTATTTTGTCAATTTTACTTAATTATGATGAAAATAAGATGCCTAGGTTTGTATTGTTTTATTTATTTTGTTATAACTGATTGGTTGTTTTATGTCAGGGTTTCCCAACCTTTCTTCTTTTGAGCCTGCTGGAATTATAAAAAATATTTTCATGCCCCCTTTTTTTTTATTATATTAAAACACGCTTTTGTGATACAGCAAGCTTTTATGATACAGATATGTAAATAAAAATTATTCTTCTGATCAAAAAATAAAACTTTATTGTTGCCACACAAACCCCCTTGGATGAGAACTCTTGTTTTATTTACGTTATATAATTAAGTAGAATAAGTTTTAAAATACCTTTTTTAACAATGAATACTTATTTCAGATCATATTTAGTAGATTTAGTGGAAACAGTACATCTATTCCTTAAAATGCTTGAGCATTATTGCAAGAAAACTGGTTTGGTCGTGCAAAAGAAAGTGCGGAAAAAAACTAAATCTAAAAGTAAGTCATATTTTCTTTATTTTAAATATATCTACATCTGATATTCTAGATTTTATTATTATAAAGGAAAAAGCTAATACATACTTTCTCTTTCAAGGGGACGAGAACTAATACTTAAAAAGATACAAAAGAATATAATATTTTTTATTATTCATATTTTCTTCTCAAAAATTGAAAAGTTAACAATGAATACTTATATAATTTTCCTTATTATTTGAAGAAAGTAAACAAAAAAAAAAGTCGAGAATAGTGGCATAAACAGTAAAATCACACTACTATTTTTGACTAGCATTTTTTTGCCGAGCTCCGCCTATATAATTCTTTAGTTTATGATCTACATATTATATTACCCAAGGTCCAAGAATGCAATTTGAAATCGAGAGCCATTTAGCTTGCATTATCAACATAGTATTTACAATTTAAGTAAAAACACACAGCACAAGTTTATTTAAAACATATTTCTCTTAAAAAATTATTTAAACAAGTGAAAACATAACACAAATAAACATACACCCAAATTAAGTAGGTATCTAAGGATCTCATACTTTAAAGTTGTCCAAAAACAAACTTTTAATATTAAATTACATAACACTAAGTATGTTAATTTTCTTATTATTTTAGTTAGAATTTAAGTCTCTAAAGCTCTTATAAAAGAACTATTTCTAATAAGTTAATTTTCATACCTTTTGACTTTTTAATGAGTTGAACACTTAGCGTCGTGTAATTATAAAGAAATTAAATGAATGTATGCGCTCAACGGCGTTCGCTTTGCTATCTTAATTATACACTTCAATTTTTTTTTATATAATACGTAAATACGTTTTTTATTAAAAAACGGTCATATTCAGTGTAAAAAAACCGTAAGTTTATTTAAAAAGAAAAAAAAATAGCATGTTAATTTCTCAAATTAAGGAATATTATGTATATTGTATCTATAAACAGAGTGTCATAGAACTATGTATATATGTATGTACATACGTTGATAAAAAGTAGCCTATATCTTAATTCAGCACAAATCTACCTAAGCATGTTCAGTTGCTGAAAGCTGAACAAGCTTTTACGTAAAAACAGCAACAGAATGACATGAATTTTCATAAAAATGCACTTATTATGTAAAATATATGGCACTTTATTTCATTTAATATCCTTGTACATTGAGTGAGATAAATGCCGTGGCATACTTATCATGTTGCAGTCAGCTCTTTCTAACGTCCCACTGCTGGGCACGAGCCTTTTTTTAATACGCCAAGTGTGCGGCCAAGTGTGGGTTGGCGGACTTGTTTTTCGAAAATTTCTTAGGTTCTCTCAGATATGCATGTTTCGTCACCATGATTTCCTTCACCATAAGACAAGTAGTAATCTTGTTAGAAATGATTCGCACATGAAAGTATCAGAGGTGCGAGGACCACAATTTGAATCTACTTCGCTCGGTTTCCCAAACAAGCGCGTTACCACTAGGCTACCACTGCCTTTACTAATCCTGTTACCAGGTTTTAATTATAAATCGTCGTCCATAGAACAAAAACCGAAATCGAGTGCTAAACCAAAAACGATAGAACTATCGCCGTGGGAAGAGGTCAGGCCTCAAATAGCGGCAGTCCTAAGAGCCGGCATAGAAGAGTATCCGCCACCCTTCGACGCAGCCTCCGATGTGGCTATTGATCAACAAAAGTGAGTATATGTATCTTTCCACTCATATATAATCCGATTCGACGTGAAACTTATATAGTTGGATAGTAACATATCATAATATAGTATACACTTAATATTATAAATAGAAAATAATTGACTGTTTAAAGTGTTCGCGTGTGCGTGCGTGCGTGCGTGCGTGCGTGCGTGCGTGCGTGCGTGCGTGCGTGTGTGTAGATAGGCAATAAAAGTACTACATGCAATAAATAAATTCGTATTTTACTACTAATCCTTTTATTAAATATAAGTTTAATAATCGGCAAACATTCCCCTGTAACAGCTTATCTTCCGGCAAAGGCCTCCTCTAAAGATTTCCATTTTTCTCTATTCTATCTATCATATATTGTTGGTCAGCTATCTTTATAATGTCATCTTCCCAACATTTCCATTGTCTTACTCTCTTTCTTGTAACATCTCATATATCAGATAGGCAATAAACTTTATCCAAATCCGTCCAGCCGTTTCAGCATAAAGGAGTAAGAAACACACACACACACAAACACACACTAACACACATAAAATTTCACATATCCAAAATACACACAAATATTACACGTATTTATACTGGTCTAGAATTGGACCTAGCAAGGTATATATACATCGATTCAGGTAAATACCAAAGATTTTTCTTTTAGAATTTGCTGTTATTCAATGTTTTCAAAATAAGATTTTTCCGTAAGAACGGTTCAAAGCCCATCTGCATTTCATTAAGAAAATGCAATGGTAGAGACAACATCTAGTTACGACATTAAATAAAACAAGACTGTCGTCGGTTAAGTCGTCTGAACTAAGTTGATATTTCTTCAAGGGTTGATTTTTCATCATAAATTCAAATATTATTATGTATTATAATACCAAGTAAAAAATTACACTTGCGTAAATAAAATATATTGTTATTTTCAAAAATTAGTAAAATAATATTCACGACATTATATTATACTCATCTATATTTTATACAGATATATACAATTGAAGTGTCTGTTTATATAACAGCTTTCTACTAAATGCATGTGAAATTATATAGGTACACGGTACTTAAAGGAAAAACAAATTTTTAAAATCTGCGAAACGGCTGGACTGATTTTGACGGAACTTTCACTGACAGATAGCTGATGTTATAAGTAGTAACTTAGGCTAATTTTATTTTAGAAAAAGGATTAGGGTTCTGCTCAAAAAAAAACGTACCTAGGGACGCACCCGAGCGAAGACGAAGCGAAGTGTGGTAAGACTTAAAAGATAAATATTCCAACTTTACGGTGGCATTTTATCGTAAACAATTAATATTAAAAAAAAATAATCTAAACAACTTTTTTTTAAATCGCTTAAAATTTATGTAAGACGACTCACGTTCCTCACTCTATATTTCACAATTGAAATAATTCTAGCTTTGTGACTTAACAGACGACATATTGATTAATGAGACAATCCATATTAATAATACAAACCCTTTTTGTGGTCTAATGAAAAAAATGGGTAGGTAGGTACTGTATCCAAAGTTTTTTCATTAATCTAACATCAAAGTAAATAGCCGCGATGCTTGGGAGATTTCATAAAGCCTAAGCTTCAATTTATTACGTTTAAAAGCAGCTTTCAGACTCGCCCGTCTGGTCTAGACATTAAGGTTTCGATGCGATTCAACATTTTCTAAGTTTTATTTGCTCATTGTATTTCGTAACAAAGTTTTGATTGGCTTCTTAAATTGAATTGAATATTAAAAATCATTGTACGAGTATTTAAGAGCCTTTAACGATTCTGATTGTAGAGAATTGCTATATTATCCTGTACACCAATATTTGATGAATTGATATAATAAAAAAATATATAGGTACGTACAGACGAATATAGAACCTCCTCCTTTTTAGAAGTCGGTTAAAAACAATATACTATAGCTTTTCAAAAAAAATTGCATCGATCTGTTCTGTGCGAGCGAAATACAGAAAGATATAACTAATCTAGCAAATACTTTCGTTTATAATAGCGTTACGTCCTTAGCGTTTATAATATTACTAGAGAATCATCCTCGCTGCTCTCGTGTTCGCCCCTAGGCACATTTTAATGGTTAGTATAGATTTTTTAGGGACGAGATATTTTCCTGCAGTAAGAAATATCCTTTATGTCGACCCGGATAACCAGCTATCATCGTACCAAATTTCATCAAAATCTGTCCAGTGGTTTTTCCATGATGCGTACAGACAAAAATTCCAAAAGCTATAGATTCGGCCTTTGTATCGTATCTTATAATGACTATCTCAATAAGATTTTCCAAAAAAATATTTAATGTACAGAATCGACTCAGTTACAATTTTATTATATGTATAGTTTGCTTAAACTTCTTACCCTTATTAAAACTTCTGATCTTCTTAAAGGAGGAATTATTATTAATGGATACCGGCATAGCATTTAACGTTTAGCTTCGTTTTTAGAATTCGTGATAGAGAATTGTTCACTCAGTTTCAATAATATGATGTCTACTAAGTACTAATCCATATAGACTAAAGTCACCTAAAGAGGGCATCTAGAGGGAATTCGTGAATGGCTTTTGGGGTGACACAATGAGGCTCTCCCGACTGTCATACGTAGTTTTATATGACAGTCGGGAAACGGCATTAGGTTTGATGGATATATCTGCAACTGGACCTTGTTCGCCATTATACTTTTTAGATTTACATCAATATTTGACATTTAAAACAAAACTATCTTTTCGGATTTTTTTTGCGAGAGACAGTCGCTCCCGTGATCATGATTGCTGTAAAGTGTATAGCATTCGAAACGTCGGGAACCAAAAATCAAAATAAATCCGCGAAAAAATCCAAAATGATTGTTTTATTTAAAATCGTTTGCCATTGTTATTGGCATTTTTGACAACCCTTGCATTTATCGGAATTTCCGTTAAGATCAAAGGCTCTAATCAACTACTATGGATTTTTATAGTGAGCTAATATTATCAATATGAATATTTTTGAAGAGTGTGATTTATAATAATTATATATTATAATTTTTATTTTATGTTTATATGTATTTTTAGGGGAGATTGTATGAAGAAGATACAAAAATTAATGCGCGAACACAAATATGAAGATGCCGTCGGTACATTCAGAGCTGCAAGGTAAGTTTGGTCTGTTTATTAAAATGATACAGTTTTAAAGGTTAATATATCTTTACAAAAAAATTAAAAAGAATACCTACATTATTTTTTATTATTATTTTTCTTACAGTTAAAATTAAATAAGTTTGCAAAAATACGTCAAGTCTCTGTAATTCCCAGCAAAATCCATTTTCATAATATTAAAAGTAAAACTCACTACACAAAAGTATTCATACATCATATTAGTAAACTTTACAAAATATATTCGTGTCGAAATGACTAGCATAACGAAAAGCAACCCAAATATAAATAACATTTTTAAATTAGATTACGACCAACTAATATACTTAAAAGACCGCGTGTAAGGAACGCTGTAAAAATTTTCTGGTATTAAAATATACAGGATAAATTCATTTTGCCTTAAAAGCCATATTTTTTAAATATTTCTTTTGGTACTTTTGACTGGAGGTGATTTTTTTTATATTAACTTCGACTAACGACGGTCTTTATATGCTTATGTTATACTGGTATTGTTTATTACGTTGGAAACTACGGTTTCCATTAGGTAGTATTTTGTATTGGCTGTACAGTGTAGTATATATTTTTTTCATTGCAAGTGTAATATATGCGTGTATCCGAACGTAACACAAGTACAGACGTTTGTAAATGACAGTGCAACTACGAACTAATTTGGTACAGACTATATACTTTTTAGAATAATGATCGGAGTAACATGGTGGCGACACTTGCCAACAGACAGCATCTCGATACTAATGACAAGTAATGAGCTCTGTAATAAACTTAATAAATAATATTAATATATGGTGTGTTCCTGAACACTGGATGTTTTATTTGTAAGAATACTACGGCAAGCATCTATATATTTTTTCATATATGTATATCCATATTATATGAATTAAATTTTTAGTATAGTACTAATTTGGCATCGTCACATTTTTTTGTATATCTATACTAAAAAGGCAGAGTTTGTTTGTTTGTTTGTTTATTTGTTTGTTTGTTTGAACGCGCTAATCTCAGAAACTACTAATCCGATTTGATAAATTCTTTCTGCATTGAGGAAGGCTATATATCATCATGCTAATAACAATAATAATGTTCTCCTGACCGATTCCGGCCACGGCGGCCAATCTCATTGAGACTAGCCAACTGCGCAGGAGATATTATAGTGCACCGCGTGTGAGGGAGAGCGCAGACACTACGTGCACTCTCTGTTCCTGTCACTCCGGTGGGACGACACGAGACACGACCAGTGAGAGTTAAGGCTCAGGACCGACGGCTTTACGTCGTCTCCGAGACACGGGGGTGAAACACCACCAACTTCTCTATCCTAACTTGTTACTGGGACTTTCTTAACAGAGAGACTCAAAAATTAAACTTGGCTCGACCCGGGACTCGAACCCAGGACCTCCGGGTGAGTAGCCGTACATGCTAGCCACTACACCAACCGAGGCAGTTACCCAAGGGAGCGGAGCAGTAATCATAGATGTCAACTACAAAAACTATATAGTAAATCTATATATATTTTATAAATATATAACATAAACCCGCGGCAGAACGCGGGCGAAGCCGCGAGTTGTGCTAGTATATAATAAAACCAGATTTTAATAATTTAGTAAAAATTCTTTAGGGAAGTATGGCCTGAAGAAGGTATATTTGGAGTGAGCGGTATTCAAGAGGATGAGGAATTAGATATGCTCGAAACAATTTACAATACTGATTTGGGAGTTGAAGTTAGTAAGTACATTTTTCCTTAAAGAAAAAAAGAAATTTATTTATAAAAAATGGTATAGGTACATAGTTTTTATGTAATTATAAAAATATAATATTTTTTATAGGTAGAGTTGAGGAAGAAACGCAAGAAAATTCCGAATACGATGAAGAAGGTGAGGTATTTTTAGTGTCGGCTGTAGTTTTATAACTTAGTTCTTTAACGAGCTTTTTATGTAAACATATTTAAATTATACGTGGATGTCATCAGGAATAAAAATAGTTTATTTAAATTTTAATATTTTTATATTATTTTATTGTATACTAGCGGCTCAACCTAGCTGCGCTCGGGTTCGCCTCTAGGAAAAGAGATCTATCTATCCCGTTCATTTTTTCAGGATAAAAAGTAACCTGTTGTTTGACTGGCAATATAAGGCATGCCAAATTTTACCAAATTGCAGTGCATAAGTTGTTGTGTATTAAGCTGTATAAGTTACTATAGTTTTTTAACTATCCCAAGGTAACTCTTTAATTTTCCGGAATGAAAAGTATCTAAGATGTTGCCCGGGGATATATAAGGTACCACCATGCAAAATATCATTTAAATCGGTTCAATAGATTCGGAGATTAGCCCGTACAAACAGACAAACAGAGAAACAAAAAATTTGAAAAGAATCTGGATTTGTTCTATTTGTTTTCTTACATCCCCCTGACTCGGCTTTTAGCATTTTTTTTCTATGTACAGACATTCGACCTCTACAGTTTTATTATAGTATAGATAGTGATTTAAAAATATCTTAAAAATTTATCGATAATCTAAAAATCAGATCTAAAATCTATCGCTTTGAAAAAGAAATAGCCCGAATTAGTACATTAAAAAATTAGATATGAGATGAGGCATCATAAATTAGTATTCTAAATATTACAAGGTACATGGTTATTAGTGTAGCAAATAATAGCACTGAGTACTTATATAAATGAACCATTATTTACTTTTTTATTTATCATATTAGATGAAGAAGACGAAGAAGATAAATCGACAGCCGTCGTTGAAACGGATTTTGATTTTCAAGACTTTGTCCTCAGGTAAAGTATTTTAGGTGATTTAAAACAAATCATGCCTATAATATGTAATACCTTGGTAAAGTATTATGGCTTATTTAAAAAAAACTTGATTATAACATAAATCCTTTAAATATACATACGAAACTATATAATTTGATTGCAACCATAGACGTAGAGAGTGGGCTGAGCAATATTCTCATGAAATTGATTACTCTCTAGAAAGAGAGAAAGCGACTGTGCGGCTAATACCTTTCGTTTAATCCAATTTAAATTTATAAATATATATGTTGGGACATTATATGTTATGTAATATGTTATGTAAAGTTAAATAAAATGGAATGTTAAAAACAATATAAAATAAGGTTAAAAAAACTGGATATAAATGTCTTATCTTCAAAATAATGGTACTTCATAATACTTTCTTAGATTTACGCGAATATTTGACATTTTAAATAAAACTATCTTTTCGTATTTTTTTCGCGGATTTATTTTGGTTTTTGGTTCCCGACGTTTCGAATGCTTTACAGCAATCATGGTCACGGTAGAGACTAAGGTTATAGACGTATCAAAGGTATATACTTGTTACAGACTATGTCTACCCATAAATTTACAAAAATGATTTCATAAATTCAAAAATGGCACCAAAGTACCGTACAATATATTTTGATGTTTTTAATTTTAAACTTTTTTTTTAATAAAAAAAGTCGTCTAAAACCTTAGAGTCTCCTGTGACCATGATTGATTTAAAGCATTCGAAACGTCGGGAACCAAAAATCAAAACACTCCCTATTCTTGGTTGCAACAGACATGACAAGTCTAGAACATCTAGAATTTTCTAGAATTGTCATTCAAAAGAAATAATATTTAGCTGCTTTTAAAAAGCGTTGTAAAAACTGGTTAAGTATTTCTGTCCAAAACTGTATTTAAGTTGTTTATCACTGCGTAGAAAATCGCTTTAGCATTCATATTTGACTTTTCAAAAGTTAAGGTAAGTACCTACGTAAAAGATCAAATAGTACCGGCATTGAATTTGAATTCCCGTTTTTAAAGTACCTTTTCAAATGTTATCAATCATGAATTGCACTTGTGTATGCCTGTCATAGGTTTTACAGTTTTATTTAGCATTTAAATTTAGTTTTTTTAAACAATTACAATTTTTGATGTTGTATTGTTCACAATTTTTGCTTGATAGTGTACAAGCATGATTACGCTCGCGTAATACGATGATAAAATATTCTATTCAATAAAGCTCAAATAAAATTTCTGTAGTAAAAACTTCACTTTCAGTTTCGAATTTATTTATTCTTCAAATTATTTCCTAATAAACTTCTTACGAAACTATTACGAAACTTTTTATTTTTAAATAGCCAAATCCAAGCCAAGTGAGGCGCTTATCAACAAAAAAAGTACCCAGATCGGTCCAGCCGTTCTCAAGCCTTACTTACTGGCATTTTGTTTTTACCAGACTGCGGCGAAGACTAAAAGAGTTTTATGTATTTGTCCTGTATATATGTATATATTATTGTTACTGCGAGTCTTGATTCTTGTGTGTATATCTCCGACTGCATATTACTATTCTCCTTTGTCAACTTGTTGCCTTATTTTTAGTTAAACGCTTTTTACGCACTCAATTTTTTTTTGAAGTTAATTAGCCATTCATCCTCGCCCGCTCGGGTTCGTTCCTACTTACGTTTTATAGTTTAGTATAGATTTCGTAGAGATGAGATATTTTCCCGCAGTAAAAAGTATCCTATATGTTGACCCGGATAATCAGCTATCATCATACCTCATCAAAATTCCTCTAGTGATTTTTCCATGATGTGGTCACAGAAAGACACAGACAAAAATTCTAAAAACTATAGATTCAGCCCCTATAATAATATCTATTGCAATAAGATTTTCCAAAAAATATTTAATGTATAAATCCTACTCAGAATTTTATTAAATGTATGGATTGCTACATCGAATTCGCAGACTTACTTTTCGTGAGGACGGCTTAACCGATTTAAGTCAAATTCGAAATAAACATACCTTACATCTTCGAATTTACATTTAGGCTACATTTCATCGACATACCGACATAAGTGAATATATCAAACGGAACTTTTAAGATATTTTTAACATTTCTAGATTCTGCCATCAACGCGTAGTTAGTGCTTGTGTGTGTTTATTAGAAGGCTATGAGAAGAATTTACCATACACCAACCATTGTATAGTAAAGATGTTGCATAGAATAGCCTATGACAGTAATCGTCCTGCTATGATGTTTCAAGCAACACTGTTTTTAGTGTTTCAGAAGATCTTGAATAACCCTATCCCAATATTTAAGGTAAGTTGTAGATTATATATATATATATTTTTTATATGAACATATTTGTATGTATAGTAGCATCGTGTATGGTAGATTTTGTATCAATTTTGTCTATCGTGTAACCGTGCTCAAAATGCTATATTAATTGATCAAAGCGTTTTGTGTAGGAAAATCATGTGTGAACGTCATATGTTCACTTGTTTACGTGCCTTATCGGCAACATTATATGATTTTTTGTGCAATTCTATGTAAGAGTTTCTTTCCAATGAGCTTTTATCACCCTACTTTGATAATAAATACCTGCAAAATACTAGGGGATCTGTAGTAATAGGTTCAAACTGCCTCTTGTTTTTCTAGTTAGCTTGGATATTTATGGTACTATATTATCTCATGATAATATCTAAGAAGATAATCCTACTAATGTTACAAATGCGAAAGTTTGTGAGGATTTATGGATGTATGGATGTTTGTTACTCTTTCACGCAAAAACTACTGAATGGATTTTCATGAAACTTTATAATAATAAGCACATACATCAGAATAACACACTTATTTTTTATCCCGGAAAAAATCCCGTGGGATAGTTTTTGTTTTTCTAGAGGCGAACCCGAACGAAGCGAGTGTGAGCTGCTAGTATTCCATATATTTCGACTACCTAAAAATAAAGTAATTGTAACATCCCGAAAATAACAATTTTACATACCTACTTCATTTTACTTGTAAAGATATTGGAAGGTATCTTAAAATATTTAATATTTGGTTAGATAACGATTTAAGCCCGAGTTTAAGGCAAATCGTTGTTGACGAAAAATTATTTGTATTTATATTTTACAAAATGCTCAAATGTCTTAGTAACATTCAGTATCATTATTTTATACTAGGTTGCTTCCCAATACAAACTTTTATCTCCATTTTCACCCCCGTAAGGGATGATTTCCGGGATAAAAAGTATCGTATGTCCTGCCCAGGGTCTCAAACTATCTTCTTACCAAATTTCACTAAATCAGTTTAGTAGATCCACAGATTACCCCCTACAACGTCACAAACTCAGAAATTTTACCTCTGTACAATATTAGTATAGATATCACATTTCATTTTAATAATGCTTTAACTTTAACGTAGGTAAAATTATGTAAAATATGACCATATCTTTTTAAAAACTTGCATTTTAAAGGATAATAAGATTAAAATCACGTATATTATCTGCTAGGATATGATAAAAACGACTTAATATTCTCATGTAATGGCTCAAAAGTTATAACATCGTAGCAGAGTTAAGCCGGCTTTATATTATAAAGCTGCCATGCTGAATTTGTTTCATAACATTGGTTTTAGAGACAATTTTATATGTAAATTTCTTTCATGTCTTATTTATATATAGATTCAGGTTTTCATTTCTAATTTTTGATAATTTAAATTTATATAAAGCTAAGAGACTCGAAAGAAGACACGTTTGGAATATATAGTATCTACTTTACTGACGCGACTAATATAACAATAATTTTACTCCGTTAATTCCAAGACTCAGATTGAATGTTTATGTAATAAATATAAAAAAATAATTAATTACAACATTTTTCTATTATTTACCTAGAATTAGGTCGTAGAAATAGGGCTCGGAACCGTTTTAAAAAAACGCGGTTAATTTCGGTAATGTAACGGTTAATTCAGCGTTCGTTCATGAACCGGTTACTAAAGACCAACCGCTTAGTGTACCGAAATAATAATGGTTATTCTTAGTGAAAGATTAAGCTTAGGTTTTGATACGGAAATAAACCGGTTAATTCCAGAGACCTAAATATATTCACTAAGTACGTACGAGTACATACTAAGCAATTCACCATTAGCAAAGATTCGCCAAATATAAACGCACAAAAGCTCATTTTAACCGTTTAATTTTCAAACATGGAACCTAAATTCCTAAAAAACTTCACCGTTTTCTGGTATTTAACCGGTTAATGAACATAACTGACACCTTAAACCGAAAAGCTTTTCGGCTTAGCCAATCACCGACACTGGATTAAAAATTGAACGGATTTCCGAGACCAGCATAGAAAGTTCATAAATTTATCACATTAAAAATCACTACGTCCTTTTTGAAGAAAACCTAGCCTAAATACAAAATAACAACAAATAATATCCTAGGGCTCATGCGGTTAACTTCAGTAGAGAGCCCGCCCCTAACCGCTTATCTGAATAAAACGAGTAAATACACTAAGGGGAGGAAATTGCAACGAACAGTCTAGCCAATTGGCAAATCTTGAAGGAAATAGAACAAATCTGTCGTATAACGAATTACAGATAAACAACTGTGTATACGTATAAAATTGTCTTCACAGCGAGATGAATATACCGACAATATTTAAGAGGCCCTGTTCATAACATTTTATTTCCGTTTTTTTTATTTGATATTAAAGTACGATTACGCGTTTCAAATATGAATAATATTCAAACTGAAAATTCGTTTATTTATCCTATACACTTGGCAGATTCAAATTGTTGTACTTACGGTAATATGTGCTAAAAGCAATTTTTCCGCACAAAGAAAATCTGAGAAATTCTAAGAAAATTAACTGTGAAGTACGGACAGACATTAGTGTTTTAATATTATGACGTTTAAAGATTTTCTAGTTATATATTTATTTATGTAACAGTATACATATATACCTATTATATTATTTTTATCTTTCATACATCTTCTGGCACTTAATTGATCGTTACTTAACACTATCTCACGTCCATGGGTTGACTGGTAGAAATCTCTTTTAGGCATAAATCCACTTTTGCCTTTGTCATTTACTATGCAATGTCTATATTATTTTTCATAAGTGTAATAAAGATATATATTTTACTTTCCAAGTCTATACAAACATTCTTCTAGGCCCATTTAATACAAAAGCGGCATCGAACATATGACGGCAATATTGTATTGATATTGTCGGCATACAGGGAAAAGAATTTACTGTGTCCTATCTCGCTGTTTCACTTGGGAAATAGAGTACATATATACGTTGATAGTAAAATACATAGTATACAGTGTATATTCGAGTACAGTGCCACTAAATATGTAGGTATATGAAAAATCGACTTCAGAAAGCTACAATGGACACGTTTCCAACTTTTTTTTATGAATCAATTATAAAAAATGAAGTAAACTATAACAAAAATATGAAAGAATTATTAAAATATCTCAACAAATGAAAAAGTTATGAAACTTTAAAGTTGCGCTTGCAAAAATAATTTCGTGACATCACACTACCTGAACGACCGAAATTTAAATTAAAAATAACATTACCATTAAATAAAAACCAAGCAGTTGTACGTAAAATAACTAAAAACAGAGCGAGAGCTCACTTACGACTTAGAAACAACAACAAACAATTGAATGATATTTTGTTTTCCGACTATCTGTTAGGTAAAATGACGCTACACTCGAGTGAGAGACCGCATTTGTTGTGCATCAATATACTTAAATAATTAATGTTTCAGTGAATTATATTACATTTCAAAGAAATCCCTGGCTTATTAGTTTTGATCTATAGTTATTTTAATTCCATTGCGTTAAGTATAATATTAACAACACATAAGACTTCTCCATTGTTGAAATATAGAAATTTTAAAATTGTCAAATGTAATCGTTATATTATAGGATTATAATATTTTTCTAGGCCATTCCTGTATATATTTTTAGATTTTTATTTTACAATGATTAAAGAATGTCATCTTATCAAATCGATTATATATACAGTTCTCATTTTGGCGACAATATTCGTTAGCACACTTACATATATTTAGGATTTTCTATTCTGTTCATTTAAAGTGCTTTTTAACTTATCACAATCGGTGACGTTAGTTTTAATCATTTTCGCTATTTCTTTAAGTTCCGGATTTTGCCATCTACGCTCACTTGATTGTTTCACACTCTGTACCTACATAAAATATAAACAAGAGTATGCCATGCCGTACAGAAGCGGCAAAAAATGTTTTTAAAATGTATCGCGTTTTAAATGTAATCTTCATTCGACAGGAATTGGAAAAGTTCGCAATATTTGTTCTAAGGAAATTCGCTGAAATGGCATCGAAGAGTAGCAAAGTTTTTATCGAGCTGTTATTTTGGAAGAACTCTAAAGATTCTGTCGAAATCGAACACGGTTACGACCTTTACAACGATCCCAGGTAAGTTTCCTATTGAAATGGTGTTAGTTTTTAATGACTGTTTGTTTGTACAGTTCAATTTAAACTTTACTTTAACAATTCATTTTTTTAGTTAAATTAATAAATTCATATGCGTAATTAACACTTTTTGTGTAATGATACAGTATTATTAAATTTAGAATTACACGATTAAAATGATAATTTTATATTGATTGGTAGATACATATTATATTGCGTCTATGTAGAGTTACAACACATAAAGATTCTAATTTGAATTATATTATAAATGCTATTTTGTATTTTATACATCGATTTTAGATTTCCAATATAATATTATGTACTTTCTATAAGCAAACACATATACACAAAGCATAAAGGCCAAGGTTACCCAACTATCTTGTTATGAAAATACCAAAAAAATCGTATATTCTTACATTATTCAAATGACAGTCGTTCCGCTTTCCAGTACGCGCGTCGAAGACTATCAAAAGATCTCTTTTTTAAGATTTTTTCATGCAATTGCCTATATTTCCATTTCATTAGAATTTCAAAATTTCTCGAAAGTATACATAAGAGGGCTTATTCTTAAATATTGTTACTGATATAATGATTTAATATTTATTTAATTTGATATCGTATTAGAGCTTTATTCTTTAAATTTCAACAAATATACATTAAAACTATCGAAGTAAAAGATAGATTTAAATAAAACGTGTTTGTGTGTACTTATATACCCACGTAAGAAGTTATACTTGTTTGGCGTAACAGAACAAAAATAGCTAAAGATTTCATCCCGTATATCACAACTCTCTGTTTGTAAAAGGAATGCAGCTAACTTCATCATGTTGTTTTTTGGCTGTCGGTGTGCGCGCGTATCGTAAAAATATTACTATCATATTTTTTTCTAAACGTGCCAAAAGAAGCATAACTTCAAAAAATGTGTAAATACTTTTTATTTACATTGTAATATTAAAATATTATTTAAAAGCTTATTTTTACGGCAAGATGTTTTATTTCAAAACCGTAGGTACTTTATAATGAACTGTAAACTCTAAACAAACGAAAACATTTACGATACAATTATTTTGCAATGATTGACATTAAGTGGCTGATATAAATCGAGCAACGGAATTTATTCCCAAAGGAACGTTGAACCGCGGAGAATTTAATAAGGACAGAACAAAAGAAATAAAAATCTCATTTAAAACTTCTTATTGTCTAAATTCGTAATTAGTGTCAAGCTTCATTGTAGGCGTAATTCACCTGGTACTTAATTTTATTTTAAAGAATGAAGGTTTAATTCGGAAAGATAACATTAACGTTCGCAATAAAAGATAATACTTCGACAGTAATTTTACTCATTATTTTATTTTTGTAATACATTTTTATATATTTTCGTATTAAAATAACTTTAATTGATAAGTAGAATTTGAGACGGGATGGATTTTACCCAACTGCGACGAAGCCCTAAGGAGGATTATGTGTTTGATCTGTATGTACATATGTATGTATGTCAGATCCTATATTGCTTCGTAAATACTAAACGGCTTAATAGATTTGAATGATTGATAAATCGTTAGGCTTGTCTTGATGAGTCGAGTGCTGTAGGCTATATGGATAATAATAAAAATTAAAATGGCGAATTTCAAGCGAAGGATTTGTATGTCTTAATATATATATATATATATATATATATATATATATATATATATATATATATATATATGTGTGTGTGTGTGTGTGTGTGTGTGTGTACACAATTACTATTTACATAATATTAAGAAATTTAAAAAAATCATTGAGCTTAAATATAATTTGAACAATTTATTTAAATCAATTTGCTGTATTAATTTAATTAGGTATTTTGTCATTTTAAATGGATAAAGTTTTTATATAATTACATATATTATAGGTATATCAAATCAAATCAAAATGTACTTTATTCAATGAGACTTTTCCAAGCTTTTTTGAATCGTCCATTTTACATTTTATGTTGAAATTAAATTAAACGTCAGTATAGTCAATCCGTGAGGAATATATAACAAGGTAGATCTCTCAAAATTAAACAATTAACCATTCAAAAACACCTTAGTTGTTCTACTATACTTGTTATTTCCTACCTTCCTAAACCTCCCTATTTGTACACATAATATACGTTAGTATATACATACGAAAAGTTGCATAAATTCAATTAATATAAATGAAGGTGCGAACTGAGTGAAAACGTCAAAGCTTTGACTGCGCAAGTGAAATTGTGATAAATTGTCTGTCAGAGTTCATTTTTTAAACAGATCTCACAATTTTTATGTACCTACTTTTTATTTTCGTCGTAAAAGTGCATTCGTCTTTATTAATGTCTCGATATATCACAGTGACGAAATAAGAAATAACATGTAGCTTACTTAAAATAATACCTAAAACCTATAATTTCCACACCGTATTCCATCGATCACTTAGGTATAATTATTATTTGTGATCGATGCCGTATTCATAACATTATGACATGTATAGCAAGCCCTTAAAAGGGCGTGAAAAGGATGCCAAATTTTATATGAAAATAATACCTTTCTGGTAAAAATTTCGGATAAAAATAATAATAATATAAATCTGCTAGAACCTGGGAATTAATAATCTTCGATGCAAATAATTTTAACACATATCTCGACGTCTTTCTAGAAAATTCTCTTTAGGAGACAAGGGGCTTATTCTTTTTAGGAAAAAAAGAACATTTCTATGTTTAATATGTTTTTAGGCCAAATGAAAAAATAATCAGGTCAAATTAGAGCAAATAACTATAAATAAAGCCTCATAGCTTACCATGGAACTAGATGGTGTTGTGTACTAATGTCGAAACATGTACCTACATAAACATAATATAATATAGCCTTCTATATACACATACATATACATTTTCCAGTAGGTTTATAATTTGCAATGAGACACTAATGAAAATAATGCAGGAAATGTTACCAAAAAGTTGTTTCACTCAAATTAATATAAATGGTTGTGTAAACTGGGTGGAAACGTCAAAGTTTTAACAGAGAAAGGTGAAATTGTGATTAATCGCCCTTCAACAGGGATAAGCCGGGCAACTCGCAGTGGACTGAGGAACAGGAAGAAGAACTACGCCAACTGTACATGGAAAACCAGACTAATCCCGAAAATGATCAGGGTGAGTGTATATCACCTATATATCTCTGTCTATTATATAGATATTTATTATTACAAATGCGAAAGTTTGTGTCTGTATGTTATATTGTTACTGCCTGTGCAACGGCGAATGGATTTAGTTTTGTTTGACTTGAAAGAACAAATCATAAATGAAAAATATTTATTCTTATAATCATATAATAATATATTTTATTGTACCAAAAATATGTATAAGTAATCTATATTCAATGTGATGAATGAAATTTTTCACATTTTTATAATAGCACTAAAATTAGGCGTCATGTCTGACAACGATATATTTACCCTGTGACCCTTCTACGGAACCCGCGGACCAGGATTTGGGAAGCGCTGATATAGAGTATGACTTGGAGTAACTAGACAACGACGTAAGTCGTATATCGCTAGTGAACAGTAAAGGAGTCTGCCCACTACACCGTCTCATACCATGACCGTGTTAGGACCGTGTCAGGCAAAAAAATATTCTTTGTATTGAAAAGTATGAGACTGCCCACTAGACCGTTACGTCACCGACCGGCCGTCGCGTGCCGCGCGCGGACGCGCGGGCGGCGCTGTGGTGAGCATACACAGCACTAAAACCGTTATGTACGGGTATGACACGCTGTTGATACGTTCTAGTGGGCATAGTAGTCCGTGCCATGCTCGTTTCCATGCCTGATACGTCCATAGCACGGTCATAGTATGAAACGGTGTAATGGACAAACATCTTAAGACTTAAGTCGCTAGTAAAGTATGTGTAATATAGTTAAAGAAACAATACAATTTTATTTCTCACTAATAGTCTCACAAAAAACCTAGTTAAAATATCCAGTAAAATAAATTTTGCTGTTATTTTAACACACACTTCGCAGAACATGAATGTTATTGCGTAGTTAACGAGATCACCTCGAAATAGCTTTTACAACTTATGGACTTATAACGCAAATTTTATATACAAGTATAATTTTCGTATATTTTAAATAGTTTTAGCCTTATTATTAATTAATATCTTTAGAAACGTGATTTCTAGTAATTTTAATTTGAATTTCGTATTAATATTATTTATCTGCATTCATTTGGTTTAGAAAGGAGGCTTAAAATTTTAGACGCAAATATTGCTAAAACATGGTTCCAACACAACAATGCAATAATCAATAACATTACGGAAGCTCAGAGCTGCAATTCCATTCGGTGCTTAAATATCGATTCAGGAAACATTCACCGTGTCAATAGGCCTTAATAATAGACGCTAAATAGGTCATTCGAATTAGACAAACCATAAATCGATTGCAGAAACCACAATAGTATGCGCACTACTAATCTGTTACATATACGAGATCTAATGAAGTACCTAGTTATGTATGTAGAGGAAGTATATAAGCTTCAATGAAAACCATATTGGTTGCTGTTGATTTTATTTATGGACTCTGTTTAACTGTACTATCTATAGACTAGCGGCGCACCCTCGCTTCGCTCGGTTTCGCTTCTAGTAAAGCAAAGATCTATCCCACGGGAATCGTACATATTTTCGGGATAAAAAGTAACCTATGTGTTATTCTAGACTAATATCTATCTCTGTGCCAAATTTCATCCAGATCCGTTCAGCCGTTCTGGCGTGAAAGAGTAACAAACAACCATACTCACAAACTTTCACATTTATAAAATTAGTATATATAGATAGTATATAGATTTTACTCCTCCCATTGAAATTCTAAAATATAAATTTTCTATAGGTATTTAGCGCATTGTTGAATGCTATTCTGTTCGACGGTTATATATCTTGGCATTCGCTAGTTATCTACTATTTTCTTTCATTATCTACATTATAGCTAAGCAATTGGTTCGTTGATGTTAATAACAATTTGATAAAATATACTTATATTTAGTTACTTGCCCTATAGTGTACATTTTAATGACTTGTTTTTTTAAAATAATAAGGCGGAATATGCATAATCTTGCATTTCTTATGAACCTATTACGTACATAATACATATATCAACGCAAAAAACCTTTAAACATAACCCGTAGGCGTTATTACTGCTGGATATTACATAAGAGAGCGCAAAATGTAATGATGATTATGTGACAAGGTACCCTCTAGATAACTACTCCAATTCTGCCGTCATAAAAAACAAGGCCGCAACTTCGTTAAAGTTGATTTCAAGATATTTGAAGTTTTGGCTTAGTACTTAGTACTAGTTTTGACGTAGTTACGATGAAAATGATTATGGTATCTCCGGATTCATATAGTGCTTTATGAGTGAGACGTAGCATTTTTTTTTTGCTGATTCCGAATACCTATGCATTTAAGTGATTTTTGATCAAATTGCTAATTAAGACCTTCTTTATTATGACGGCAAAATGAAGGAAATGATGGAAACGAGTATAGATACCGATGTATAAAAATCAAGTAATAGATAATTTTGTATAAAATATCATATTAAGTATTTTTTCTATAGGTATCTATTGTTTTGTACTAGGAACTACTAATAACATAAACATATTTCATTTCAATTAGTCAATTCAGATTTCTTTTTAATTTAAAAAAGTAACTGAGTTTGTTTCGAATCAAAGCATTTTCTTAATCTGTTTTGTAAAAAATTAACACAAAAACCTCTAATATTTTAAATAAGAAAAATAATCAGTAGGGAGATATTATATGTGCTAGTGTGTATGTAGTTTAAAGCCTCTACGACGCCGTTGAATTGTTTTCAATTTGGGATAAACAATATGTATTTAAACAATTCGGGATATTTTTGATATTTTTTTCAATTTTAATAGATTCTGCTTTTAATACTAGTAACTTCTCACGCTTGGCTCAGGCGCGTTCCTAAGCTAGAATAGCTCAGTACTCCATAAAAGACAAACAGCCAAAGAAAAATTCCTTATATTTGTGCCAGAAATCTTCACAGACATGGCCACCAGAAGTTCATCACAATCAGATCAATAGTTTACGAACGTATAGAGGACAAACATACGAACATTCATTTTTATTTATATAGATATATAAAAAAATAACATTTGATTTTTATCCTTTTTCATTATAACAGATGTGATTGATTGGATTTTGGAGAATTTAATCGCACAAACTCGAACACGAAGAAGCGTTATAAAGAAACTAAAGGAGCTAGGTCTTATATTTAAAGCACCGACCAAGAAAAGTAATCGAGAGAGGAAAGAAAAGGTGTCGCTTGAATTTACCGAAGAGGAAGATAATATATTGACAGAACTCTGGAAACAATACGGTGAATCTAAGGGTAAGTGTTACTATTATCTGTTATTGATTTTGACGATACGTTTGGTTCAGTTTGTAGTGACCCTACTTGCTGTGCCAGTGGTCGCGGGTTCGAGTCCCGCTGAGGGTATTCATTTGTGTGATGAGCACGAATGTTTGTATCACAGTCATGGGTCTTTATATTCTATTATATTTATAATATGCGTGTTTAAAGATATAATAAATATGTGCAGTGTATCAACTATCTGGTATTCATAACACAAGCCTCGCAGCTTACCGTGGTACTAGATGGTGCTGTGTATTTATGTCAAAACATGTTTATTGATACAAATATTTTTAACCGACTTAAAAAGGTGGACTACTAAATTAAATTATATGTTTTTGTGTATGTTAACCGATATCTTTACTAATGTGAACCTATATTCAAAATTGTTTTTTTAGCATGAATACATAATTACCTCACAGGTTCTATATATTTTTTATATATGTTGTAACTCTATGGACGGACAAATTTTGTGTAAACTTATTTATTATTATACTTGTTGCCACATTGTTGTCTTCGTTAAAAAAGATACAAGTACGAGTCTGATTCACGTACCGGGTTCCGTAGCATGAATTATAAAATTTGAGCGAATGAACCTTAACTATTTATTAGTAATAATGAGAAATACCTAAAATAACATTATAACAATCTTCTTCAAAGATAGATAAACCTAATTTTAATTTTACCTTGGCTGTTGATTTTTATATAAATCGGTTACAACTTAGAAGGGTTCTTGATCAGTCAGATATCCTATTATTACTAAACTAGCGACTTACACTCGCTTTGCTCCTGTGCGTCCCTAGGTTCTGCTCAAAAAATTAAAACTTATTTAATTTTTTAATTCGAACCTTAATTATTTTTCTAAAATAAAAGTAGCCAAGTTACTCCTTATAACATCAGCTATCTATCAGTGAAAGTCTCGTCAAAATCAGTCCAGCCGTTTCGGAGATTAGCCGGAACAAACAGACAGATTATATTAAAAATTATTTTTTCTTATAAGTACCGTTTACAATTTCATATGCATTTAGTTAAAAGCCTTTATTTTGATATTACAAACAGACACTTCAATTTTATTTATCTGTATAGATTAATAGCATAAACGTCTTAAAATACCCATCAATGCGAAAGAGCTTTAAAACTTATCAAATTTATAGGAAATTGGATTAGACTATTCATCAAAAAACGAATCTCACGTAAATCTTTCGAATAAGGTCTACATTTTCATATAGGCAATGTTCAAAAAGACTAAATGAACTAAGAGATAAAATATTACATTTAGGGTTGACACTTTTGTAACAGTAAGTTACCATTATTATTAACTTTACCATTTATTTAGTATGGTAAATTAATTTTATACAGAAATTTATATTTAGCCCTTTTAACGTCCCACTGCTGGGTACAGGAATGTCCTTCCCTTCAATGTCCACCACAGAAAATATGCAAAAATCAAACGTTCTACGAAATTCAGTTAGGTTCTCTCAGACATATTAATGAGCTAGCTCGACTTAAATTATTAATATGCAATAATATATTATTGTTATTAGCTGTGGTAGTCTATTTTTAATGTTCTCGCTTGGGAAACTCAGTGAAGCGGGTTCAAATTCCAGGTCGTCCACCTGATATTCTTATATGCAAACCATTTTCAACATGACTACCACTTGCTTAAGGAAGTAAGTAAAGTAAGAAAGTAAAACAGAACGTAAACTGTATGTGTGACAGAAACTAGTTTGAAGAAGTTTTGTTTTTTGAAAAACATGAAATGCGCCAAGCCGCACTTGGTGGCGTGCTGCCCAGCAGTGGGATATGAGCAGTGGAATACATTTTTATCACTAGCTCTCACGGCTTATAGGAACCAATACGCAATAGAATAATTAATTAAGTACCAACCCTGACCACTAATTATTCCGTGACAATATTTTATTTTCACGAGCTTAAAAAGCTCCCGTTCAGTTTCACAGTTGATTTTTTTTTATCTTACGGTGTATAACCATTAAGGATTTATATGAACATTCCGACCGTTTCAAACTATAAATTCTCTACCGATATTTAATTAAAGCCAGATTAAGTGCACTCTATACTGTAAAATCTTTACTAATATAATTACAGTGTACACATATAGCTTTAGTGGTATTTGATAGTGTATGGTTTTATTCGCGAGTAACAGATTTAGAACTAAATCGTTATAGCTAGTGTTTTTATTGTTATAACTGGTTCCAAAAAAAGAGACCTGACAATATTAATAATAAATATACTCGGTAAAAATTGAGTTTTTCAGCTTTTTACAAGTTTTTATTTATCTTGCAATGTTTGTTTGTTCGAGTCAAATCTTGGACCTGAATTTTAAAGCAGTCATCCTCAATCGATTGTGCTGATGCATACACGTTTAGTTTGATGACAATGCATGGGTTAGCTAAGTGACGTCATTCTAAATCCAATATGGTGGACTATGGTTTTTTTGTGCACCCCCATGATATGGATATTAAATCATATTAAATCAAAGGGTTAGCTGAAGAGAATACGAATAAAATAAAAAATTTTTTTTTTTATAAAATAGGTAGTAACTATGAATATATAATATTACAAAAACTTTGCTTACTTTCAAAGTCGTTAATAGATGTTACAAACGCTTTTCTTGGTTATAATGCAAATACAGTCGCTTATAAAGAGTTTAAAAATGGAAATCTAAATCTAGTAAAATCTAAAGCATGTCTTTATATTTTAGATGCCTTAGGACTAATAGTTGCCAGAATGCCAAAAAAACGTTCAAAAAAAAGTTACAAAGAACGTCTGACACAGCTAGGCTTCATACAAATCAAGCGTAGGAAGAAACAGGACACTAAAAGTGAGGATAAATCGAACGGTAAGTTTCCAATTGAACTCGCTGCAGTATTTCCTTTTATGTCCAACATATTTTCATTTGAAAACTTGTACTGAAGTCGTTATTTGTTACTTTGTGTATTGTTTCGTTTTGGACTTTTTCCTTCTTTTTCGATGTTATTGTCATATATATAGTATATTGTTTTTTTATAACCTTTTAATTTATGTGTATCTGTGAAATATTTTTATACATTTAGTTTGATACTAGCGACTCACCCTCGCTCCATTTGGGTTCGTTTAGTATAGATTTCTCAGAGAGGAGATATTTTTGCACAGTAAAAAGTATCCTACATGTTAACTCGGATAACCAGCTATCATCATACCAAATTTCATCAAAATCTGTCCAGTGGTTTTCTCAGACAGACAAAAATTCTAAAAACTATAGATTCGGCTTCTGTATCGATAATAATGACTCAATAAGATGTTCCAAAAAATATTTAATGTACACATTCGACTCAGAACTTTATTATATGTATAGGATAAGATGTAATTAATATTTCGTATACGAATTCCTATATGAATTATTTTTATATAAATAAGTAAAGGAGAAACACATTTCACATAATTTGACGTTGCTTTTGTTAAATAAAACTTAATACATTTATAATACCAATAATATTATTTTGCACGTTTTAGAAAGTTCATCGGGTTCAGAAAATTCTAGCTCAGACAGTGAAAAAGATGTCACGCCTTCGTCTAAGCTGAATATAAAACCCAAGAAAAAACCTACAAAAGAAAGTAAATCAAAGAAAACAACAAGAAATATGGAATTGAGTGCTAATGAAATCGCTAAACTCTTGGTTAAAGCTGTGGATAGCGGTGAGTGTATTTTACATACAAATTGACACATCAATGCTTATTTGTCCAAACGACCAATTTATCTAGTATAGGTACGTTTTAACGGTTAGTATGAAATGAAAATCTTTGAATTTTTCTTTGTTTTTTGTACTATAATATTATTTATATAGTATTATTATATAGTATTATACATATAAACCTTCCTATTGAATCACTCTATCTATTAAAAAAACCGCATCAAAATCCGTTGCGTAGTTTTAAAGATATAAGCATAAATAGGAACAGACAGACAACGGGAAGCGACTTTGTTTTATACTATGTAGTGATTAAGGTATAAATAAGCATGTTTAATTTTACTATAATTTTTACTATACTTTGTCATTTTAACATACTAAATACTGTTTTTTTGTAACTTAATAAAAGAGAAGTCGATTTTAACTTTGTTCTGACTGTCATACAATAATTTCATAGCATCCAACTGAGCTTACGATCAATCGTACAGACGAATACCAGAACTTTTCATGGCTATTATAGTAAACTAGCGACTCACCCTCGCTTCGCTCGGGTTCGTCCCTAGGTACGTTTTAAATTAAAATGGATATAGTATGTTATCCTTAAGAGATAGACATATGCCATCGCGGACTTTTCTGTAGACCTATATAAGATACACAATTCCACCATACATTATTTTGTTATATCTCAAAGGGTTTAGGCAGCGTTTTCGTTGAAAGCTCCCAGACGTCTTATTTTTTCCGACACCTCCAACAAATATCGTTATATTTTAGCCAATGTATACAAAAACTTAACAAATTATATACTAAAACCTTCCTCTTGAATCACTCTATCTATTAAAAAAACCGCATCAAAATCCGATGCGTAGTTTTAAAAATTTAAGCATACATAGGGATATAGGGACAGAGAAAGCGACTTTGTTTTATACTTTGTAGTGATTCTTAGAATGGGCTCATTTGAATAGTTTTGACGACCCCAAACTTTACATTTAGTCAATAGTGTGATTTGCAGTTTTTTTAAATATACTTATTATATTGTACCTACCTACAATGTATATAAGTTAGTCTACTACATCTAAAACATAGCTTGAGCTTATCATTACTCATACTAAAAATGATGTGTCAATGGTCATATTTGCTAAGTGCTAACTAAATTAATAAACTCGCAGGTGAGTCCACAAGAAGAAATTAGTATTGTACTTATATAAAGTATTGAGTGAAACTCTTAACTTTTAAGCTGAGACTTCACTAACTGAAGTTTTCTAACAATTGTTAGATGTTTGCAACATGAGCTTATGTATATTTTGCTTCGTTTATTTTGTTTCAATTACTTTGCTAATAAAATTTATCATAAAGTTTTCCAATCTCTTGATATTTTGCTTCAAACATATTTAGTTGGTTGTTCCTTTGAATTAAGGGATAAGTATAATTCATGAATGTGTACTGGTTTTTGTACAATTTGATTTATAACTTTGACACGTGAATATTTTAAATCTTTTACAATAATAATATATGAATAAATATTTTTAATTTAACAACTCCATTTAAATTTCTAAGAAATTAATTAAATTTCTAAGAAATCTATTGTTAACTGTAAAGCCGACGTATCTGCTGTCGTTGAGGGATTAAACACATTTTTACACACACACATTTAGGTTTTCATATAATTACTAGGTCAAGGTAGTACTCGATTTTAACCTACTTCACCCTACTGATATTTTTTTAATGGACCCTATTTACCCTCTTTGGATAGTAATAATTTGATTTGTAACTGACACGTTAAAATTTACATCAAATCATTACAATTCTATTAGCAATATTCATTAAAATTGATTTTATAGTAATTTTGTAAATATGGAAACAGTTGCAACCAGTATTGGCTTATTTCATTAATCTTAATGAATCTCTGATTATCATTTCAAAGTGTTACTTCACGCACTGTAACGGCTTAACGGATTTAAATGGAGTTTAAAATCTTTTATCGACGTATCTATCTAATTCAGTCTACAAATCCATGCAGTCGTCTAACGAAAGCGTTTAGCCAGAGACTGTCATACATACTTTTATATGACAATCGGAAAACGGCTTTATGGTTGATGAGTATTGAGTATATCAAATCAAAATATACTTTATTCAAATAGACTTTAGGAAGCACTTTTGAATCTTCAATTTTAGGATTTAAAATTAAATTAAATGTCAGTGTAGTCAGTCCGTGAGGAATCTAACATCGGCTCGGAAGGCAGTTCTGCTGAGAAAAGCCAGCGAGAAACTCAACAGTAGCTCTTTTAAAATACTATTTGTTTACAATATTGTAATACAACAATTATCTACTTATCCTACATGCGACCCTACCAGACATTAGTTCCACACATTGACATCTACAAAGTAAATATAGCTGTAACTTGTCACGAGACTGTTCGCTATGGAAACTGATTTTTTTCCAAACATTCCATTTGACTTCATTTACGGTTAAATTGAAAGGGTAATCACTTGCTGTATGGATTTTTATGCTGTCCTACTACTATGTAATTAAAGCTGAAAGTAAAAACTAATAAAATAAAAAAAACATTAATAATCTAGGTCTAGAAGAAGCACTAAAATGGTTAGCAGAGAATCTAGAAGAGGTAGCCTTAGATCAAGAAGCGGAGGGTTTCGATCCAACAGCAGAAGGAACACCGTTAGTTCCCATCTCAAGTGACTCGGTGGATGCTATGGGCAATGATTTGTTCGTACGAGTTTTGAAGAGTATTGGTGTGGTTCCGCCTGCTGATGAACAGGTATGATTATTCTTTGAAAAGGATTCTATGATTTTGGCTTGAATTGTAACCTTTAGTAAAGTTATAAATATCTCGTTTTAATTATATCGTTATTTTATTATTTTCGTAAGCTAAGCTATGAAATATAGGATGATTTTTTCGAGTGGACGTAGCAAAATTTGGAATTACACAAAATAGTGAATAATTCTAAGAAATTACGACACCATATTGCTTGATTAGAAAAATATATTTATGTTAAATACAAGCCATTTTCCTTAACTTTTATCGTGTAATCTCACATTTAGTAACATCTACAGTCTATTACAGTAGAGACACTTCAAAATTATTTGTTAAGGATTTATTAATTTAATAATTACATTAGTATACTATTCTTTATTGCACTTATAATATGTAAAATACAGAGAGTAACAAACAATAAAATTAGTTAGCAAAGGTGGACTTATCTCTAGAAGAGATCTCTTCCAGTCAACCTAAGTGAGTTAGAGAGATAGTATTAAAATGCAGGCTAAAGTGCAGTAACTCAAATGTAAATACTTAAATAAATATATATTATATATACATATAACAAAACATTATACATATTATATACATAAATATATGTACATACTACTACATACACAAATACATATCTATATAATATAATGCATAATAATAGTAGTTAATATAATTATTGTGGAATAACTTGGGTGAGAAAGTGCTGTTTTATTTTCTTTTTAAAGGCAGTTATAGAGGGGCTTAATTGGATGTCTTTCGGAAGTTTGTTCCAGAGCAATGCGGCATACACCGAAAAAGATTGTAGAGAGAACTTAGTGTTGCTCTTGGGTATGTCAAGCATCGCAGTAATGCAAGGCCGCCTGGAACGAGTAGGAGTAGGGAGAATTTGGAAGCGAGAACGAAGGTATGAAGGAGAATTGGGATCATTAAGAATATTGAAGAGGAATGAAAGGATATGCATATCACGGCGCAGGCGGATTGGGAGCCATTTAAGTTGAGCACGAAAGTTTGATATATGGTCATGCTTACGCAAGCCAAAAATAAAACGAATAGCGAGATTTTGAAGACGCTCTAATTTGTTGAGTTGCTCCTCAGTCACATCTAAATAGCACACAGCAGCGTAGTCGAGTATGGGGAGAAGAAGGGACTGAGCAAGCATAAACTTGGTTGTGAAAGGGAGGACGAATTGGAGACGCTTGAGAGAGTGAAGAGTATAATGCATTCGTTTGCTGACCTCGTTGAGATGAGCCGCCCAAGTCATGTTACAATCCATAATTAAGCCCAAGTTTTTTACTTTATTACAGTACGGGATTGGAACACCCGAGAACTGGACTGTAGGTGTCGAGGTCCAATCGATTTTGCACCTCAGTCGACTACTGCCAAAAATTATGGATTGTGACTTGCAGGGATTCACAAGGAGGCCAAAGGACTCTGCCCACGTTTGGACCCGGACAAGATCCGAGTTCAATGCATCAATAGCTTCATGTAACTCGGTCAGCTCACAATGTCGATATAATTGTAAGTCATCTGCATACAGATGGAAGGGAGAAGAAATGACTTTTGATATGTTATTAATAAATATTGAAAAAAGTAAGGGAGAAAGTACGCCGCCTTGAGGTACACCAGCAGTAAGATCTAGCCAATCCGATGATGCATCGTTGGTCTTCACGCACTGCTGGCGTCCGAAGAGATAAGAGTGAAACCAGTCTATAACAGTACTAGAAATGTTGACCGCACGAAGAGTTCCCATAAGGATGTCGAGATCCACAGAGCTGAAAGCGCTGCTAAAATCAAGTAAAACCATCACAGTGAGCTTGGTTTTATCCATAGCACCACGAATATCCTCTGTGATATTCAGCAGTGCACCAACTGTACTATGGGAGGAGCGGAAACCGAATTGATAGGGACATAAGAGGTTATTGTGAGATAGATAGGAGTAAAGTTGATTGTGTGCCAATGATTCTATGACTTTGGATAGGATAGGAAGAATTGATATAGGACGGTATTGAGTGAGATACTTAGGATTCGGGGATTTAGGTAGAGGTATGACGAAAGCTTTTTTCCATAAAGACGGGAAGACATTGCGTGTGAATGAGAAGTTTAGAATGTGAGTGATCACAGGTGCAATATCTTCCAGTACCGGAAGAATCATGTCGCGGCTGAGGTCGTCACTACCAATGGCTTTTGTGGAAATAGAGCGGACACACTTCTTTATATCATCTACTGAGACTGTTTCAAAGACGAATGGTGGTATGTCAGGGGGGGCGAGGTTTAATAAAAATGAAAGAGTTTGAGTTTTGGTATACGAATCTAGAGTGATGGGTGGAGTGGTAAAATTATAATTTAAAGCATTGAGATCCACAGAACTTTGACAAGTTTCTGCGGCCTTGCCCACACCCAGTGACAATAGGAATCTCCATACTTGCGCTTGACAAAGATCCTGAATCGTTGAGTGAATATAACGGCGTTTGGCATCCCTACACATTCTGTTGCAGATGTTACGTAATTTTTTGTATGCATCAAGATTCTCGGCAGATGGATGCTTTTTGTTCTTAGATTTGGCCTTATCACGCTTGGCCATAGTCCTCTTGATCGCAGGTGATAGCCATGGGGCGGGAGCGTGTTTCATTCGTACCGGTCGGACCGGAGCGTGCTTGTCATACAACCTAATCAGCTCAGCAGTTAAAGAGTCAACCATGCTATCGATGTTATTTGTTGACAGTATCGGAGACCAGTCAATATTTCTAACATCCTCTCTCAAGCGGTCCAGATCCATATGCTTAAAGTTGCGCTGAAGTATAATCTTGCCTCTCACCTTAGGAGGACGCAATTTGTAAGCGAGGTAGATTAAGTCATGGTGTGAGAAAGGTGCAGTCATTTGACCATGCGAAACAGTGAGAGAAGGTTGAGAGACAGAGATTATATCTATGAGAGATGGGCGAGAATTAGGAAAGTAATGAGTAGGGGAAATCAAAGGGAGAATATGTAAATTGACTGAGGTATTTAAATCTTTTAATGCTTCAGTCCTGGAGTCATTTTTTATTAAACAAGTATTTAGATCACCCATGTAAATTACATGATCGTAGCAGGGAACAAGGTTCTCAAGAATATCTCCTAATTCCTGAAAATAATTAATTTTGTCGCTTGGGCAATACAAAACACCAAGAAGAATTTTTTTGCCGTGAATAACTAATTCCAAAAAAATATATTCAAGAGAGCCTGTTGAGAGTGAGATGGACTGTTTAACAACACAGGCGGGTAAATTGCTGCGCAGATAAATACCCACGCCGCCACCACCCTGACCAGTACGGTCATTCCGAAAAAGCTGATATCCTGGAAGAGAATAACTAGTCGATGGGAGTGAGGGTTTAAGCCAGGTTTCAGACACAAGTATACAATCGACTACGCCGGTACTAAAAGATGCGAGAAGATCTGAATAGTGAGCAGGAATGCTCTGCGCGTTAATATGCACTAGGTTAAGGAATTTAGAATTATTTGGAAATACCTTTGACAGTTTTTGTTCAAGTGTACCTTCATCCGAAATAGAAGCGTTTAAACTATTTTCAGCACTTTCAAAATCATCCGAAGAAGAACAAGAAATATATTCGATATCATACATAATACTTAATTATTATTACTTAAATATTAATATAAATATAGAAAATATATAAATATATATAAAGACAACCAAATATATAATAAAAATACTAGAAAAAAAAATATATGATTAAGATTAATATTATACTATACTCATGCATAAGTTGACTGCAAAAGAAAAAACATTTCTAAATAATATAACAACAAAAAAAAACAAAAAGAAACAGACAGTGATAAGCAGATTAAACAACAATTAAAAGAAATAAAACTCAGAGCAACCACAAAGTATTGAACGCTGTACAAAGACATCATTTTAAAATATTAATTTTGTATCTGTGAATAATTTTGTGTCAATGATATTTATGACAAATGACAATTGACATTAAACACTTAATTATTAGTTGACAAACTGTGACATATTAGAAAAATAATGTGTTTTGAACTAAAAAATATAGCGAAGAATAATTTGAATATTGTGGATACCCTGCGTAAAAAAATATATTAAGTCACAATAGTTCACATACACACTATAAACCGACCATATGAAAAAGTTATAAACAAATACAACCGTGCTAGTTATTGTCAGTTTTAGTATATTGTGCCATCAGTTTTTTGAGCTCGGACAAGGAAGTAACTTTTTTGCGGGACTTATCAGGGAGAAGAATTACTATTACACCATCTGCAGACCAGCACTTCTTCATCCCAAAGTGGCCACGAGCAGCAACAAACACATCTTGCCGGGACTTTGTTAAAAACTCAGTCACAGTTGTTTTAGTGCCTTTCAAAGAAGTTTTAGCCTTCCAAACAATGGAACGTGCTTGCATATCTGTGAACCGCACAAGAATGGGCCTGGCTGATTCCCTCTTTACACCTAACCTGTGGCAGGATTCAATTGAATCTGGCTTTGAGTCTGACAATTTCATTTGGCTGGTTAACACATACATGATTTTCTTCAAGACATCTTCCTCCTTATCTTCTTTAATGCCATGAAAGAGAAGAACCTTCCTTCGTGATTGAGTCTCCAAGCGATCCAAACCAAGGGCAACAAGCTCCACCTGAGATTTGAGTATGCCAAGGGACTTCCATATGAAAGTCTTGAAAGTACAAAATTCTGCGGCCAAAGCTTTTACCGTAGGATTAGAAGCAGTAGAACCAGGTGGTTGCAAGTTCTTTTCAAATTCGACCATTCTTGTATTAAACATAGACGATAGCTCGTCCATGCTCTTCACAAGCTGCTCAATTGGAGAGTCCATAATTCAGTGTGGTGATTTTGTGTGAAAGTGAGTTTACAGTCAACTTAAGCACTGGTAATGTAAACTTTAATACATATGTTCTATAATTATTTTTAAAGTTTTAAATAATGTGGAGCTATTAAATCACGTCTAAACTCTTTTGTGTCTACCCGCCGAAAAGCCGTTTGGCTTAGTTTATAGTAAATCAGTTGTACTTGCTGTGCCAGGGGACGCGGGTTTGAATCCCGCTGGAGGCATTCATTTGTGTGATGAGCACGAATGTTCGTACTCCATTCGTGGGTTTATATATTTATAATATGTATGTATTTAAAGTTACATATACGTAGTGTATCGACTATCTGGTATCCATAACACAAGTCTCGTAGCTTACCATGGAACTAGCTGTGTGTAAATGTCGTAATATATTTATTTATATTTATTTAAAGGTCTTAATGTTTTCATCACTACTGATATCGCTTATGATCGATTATATTCAAGTATATTAGTGACTAAAAAAAGCATTTAGTTTTCATATATTCATTTTTGTCGATTATTACTTGTTTGTCACTTCTGTGTTGCAATATCTCCTGAATAATAACAAAAAAATACCTTTTATAATAAAAAAATTAAAAAATGTGAGACAATTTCAATTATTAAACTAATAAAATTATTTAACAGGAAACGTACTGGAGAATACCAAGTAATTTGCATCATGAAACTATAAGGAAAAGACGAGAAATTATTATTAAAGCTGTCAATAAAGAACTTATCATAGATAATGCTAATACACAAACAAACGACGCAGAAAGCAACGATAATCTTATAGAGAAAAATTATAATGCAGAATCAAGTGACGACGATGACTTATTCGATAATCTTAGAAAAATGAGAGATACCGAGATTCCATATAAAAGCGATTTAAATAAATCGGTCGATCGTATTCGTAGTCGTATCGATTCTGAGAGTGTTAATAATGAAAATCAAAATAAAAATGAATCAAAAGCTTATTCGAGCGATGATGATAATATAGTGGATAATTTACGAAAAAATAAAGGTTCCAAAAAGAAGATTCGTAAGCGCAATCAAAATATCGACTCTGACAATGATAATAATGACAATCAAAATGAAAATGAATTTAAGGCTGATTCGAGCGATGATGATGATACATTCAATAATTTACGAAAAAATAAAGTTTCTAAAAAGAAGATTCGTAAGCGCAATCAAAATATCGATTCTGATAATGAATCGATAAACACTACAAAACAAAGAGAAAATGAAAGTAATGCGAATGCAACAAATGACGATATATTCGATAACTTACGAAATGATATTCCGAATGAAAACTTTGAAAAGACGAATAATCGGAAACGTAGTCGCAGTATCGATTCTGATGATGAGAGTATTCGAAAAGCGCCGAAAATCATTGGAGACGATAATGACGATGATATTTTGTCGTTTGCGAAGAAAACGTTGCAGCATACTGAGTTTCCTGACACAGAGGATATTATGAAGGATCTCCCGAAACATACATTAAGTAGTGGTAAGAATCGATCCATCTGTTTATTATCATATAATAAATATTATAAATGTGAAAGTTTTTGAGTATGGATGTTTGTTACTCTTTTACGCCCGAATGGCTGAACGGATTTGGATGTTTGGCACAGAGTAGATTATAGTCTGGAATAACACATAGGCTTTTTATCCCAGAAAAGTGTACGGTTCCCGTGGGACAGGTGTGTTTTTGTTTTCGCGAGGTCAGCCGCAAGTTTAATACAAATGCGAACGTTTGTATATGTTTGTATGTATGTTTGTTTCTCCTTTCACTCTAAGTTGGCTGGACTGATTATGATGAAATTTAATACTTAAACGTGCTATACTTTCAAAACCATGATCTACAGTAAAATTCTTAGGCATCTAGTTGTTAAATTATTTTAAATTCTGACAGTAAATCCGTTTTAAACGGAATCAAAAATAGCCTATAGCAATCAGCGGTAATGTAGCCCCTCTATTAGTGAAAAAAAGTAGTTTCAGAAAATACCCCCTACATACAAACTTTTTCTTTTCTTTCTCCCACTGTGTTAGTTATGTCCTGTTTTAAATACATTCATTGCTCACGAATGTATAACTCGTGCGAATCAAATAGGCTCGCTGGAATGCAAGTAACTACCGATTTTCCATCTTGTGCCGACAGCATCTAAAAACATTATATAAACGTAATAAAATAATAATAAAGAGGGTCAAATTAGTTAAAAAAACGTTTCTGTGTACTTATGTACAGATTTCATCCCTTATGTCACAACTTTCTGTTTGTGAAAGGAATGCAGCTAACTTCATCATGTCGTTTTTTGGCTGTCGGTGTGCGCCCGCATCGTAAAAATTTTACTCTCATATTTTTTTCCAAACGTGCGAAAAGAAATATAATCTTCAAAAAGCTTTTTAGTTATAGCTCTTACTGTTACTAATTTTTTGTTGTATAAAATTTTGCAATAGTTCTTTTTCATCGTATTAATATTTACGATGAAATGAATCATTCAGACAAGAAGCCCTAAATTAAAAAAAAATACCTAAAACTACCATCAGCAAAATAATTATTTGCATACATAATTACTTTCCCTACATAATAAGTGCTGCGGAAAGATACTATTACTGTGAATTTATTTTATTAATATATCTTAATCAGTTAGAAATATGAATAAAATGCTTACAAAAAGCAATTTTTTTGCACACTGTACATGACTATTACGTCATTAGCGAGTTATCTAGTTAATTCGCACGACTTGTATAATATGTGTAATTAGGATCAAAATAAACCACCTAATTAGGTATAGTTATATTATTAATTGCATTATAAATAAATACATAAGCATATTTTAAAAATAATGTCAATTTGAAATATTTTGATTTTGAAAACTTTCTTCGGCTTTTTTTAGTATAAACGCTCCGTTTATCTTTTTTATTTTAGTTTGAGAAAATATATATATATAGGTAGTAGTGAAGAAGTTACATAAAAAATAAACCACCTAATTAGGTATAGTTATATTTGTTTTTTGTATTCAGCCCTTTTTAACGTCCCACTGCTGGGCACGGGCCTCCCTTACATACGAGGGGGATATATTATTAATTGCATTATAAATAAATACATAAGCATATTTTAAAAATAATCTCAATTTGAAATATTTTGTTTCTGATTTTGAAAACTTTCTTCGGCTTTTTTTAGTATAAACACTCCGTTTATCTTTTTTATTTTAGTTTGAGAAAATATATAGGTAGTAGTGAAGAAGTTAAAGTTTTAAGAAAAATCAATTCTAATTTTGAGTAAATTGAGTTAATTAACTTGTATAGTACAACAACGTACACATACACAAAATAAAAAAATACATGCCCCTAAACTTAAACCCGTTTATTACTAGTGGGTGACCCTAGCTTTGCTCGGATTTACCTCTAGAAAACAAAAACAAATTATCCAACGGGAACCATATATTATTTCGGTATATATGTATGTTATTGCCTACGTATTATTCTGATGTATGGAGTTATATTATTGTAAAGTTTCATTAAAATCCATTCAGTAGTTTTTGCGTGAAAGAGTAACAAACATCCATACATCTATACATCCAGAAACTTTCGTATTTATAATATTAGTAGGATTTCATTCCATGCTTATACATCCATTTCCATGGTACACATAAATATATATATATATATATATATAATATATATATATATATATATATATATATATATGTGTATACTTAAACTTTATATATAGGTATATATATATATATATATATATATATTATATATATATATATATATATATACATAATATATAATAAATCTATCGATAACCAGTTTTTTCTGAAATAAAAAAAATAAACTCGCAACTGAAGCTTCCAATCCTTAACCCATTTTTAATCTGTTCTACCGTTTTTTTTTTAAATGCTAAAAGTGTATAATTTGAAGTTTTAATTAAAAAAGAAATATGAATGTCTCGTTTGCAGACAGCGAGGAAGAAATCGCGCCTGCGAGGAGATACAAGAAACTGGTAATTAGCGACGATTCAGACTGAATGTTGTTAGCAGTTTTGACCGACTTCAGAAAAGGAGGATGGATGTTTGTATTAATGTATATATTTACATTTAAAGGGATTAAAGTTATTATAATTTCTGATTGTAAACTCATTTTTAACGGATTGAATTTGTAGAGAATACCCACTATATAGGCGATTGACCACGCTGGTCAAGTGTTGGCGGACTTCACAAGTCTCGAAAACTTGTTAGGTTCTCTCAGACATGCAGATTTCCTCACGATATTTTCCTTCACTGTAAGACAAGTGGTAATCATGTTGGAAATGATTCACACATGAAAATATCAGAGGTGCGAGACCCGGGATATGAACCCGCATCACTCGCTTTTCCAAGCGAGCGCGTTACTACTAGACTACCACTGCCTATACATATAACATTTGCTATATCAATCAGATATTAAAATTAAATTAACAAAGAATTATGTCATTTATAGACAAAATACATATTCTACAATTAAAAAAAAAACAAATATTATTAAAACAAGAGTTCGTATTTCGGAAAATAAGAAAAACTCAAAACCCCCTTTCGAAGTAAAGACTGAAAATATTATCAAATATTAATAATATATGTATAATGTAAATATATAACGTTTTATTCAACAAAATTGGTTGAATTGAAACAAACAAAACAATAATCACTTTCGCATGTATAACGCTACCAAAGTATTTTCCATTTTGTATTTCAAAAGTGAATGCTAGACCATTTTTATACTGCCGGTCTGTCGTATGAATAAATTATAGAGTGAACAATCACGTGGGCCGTAATATATTCTGTGCAAAAATTATAGTACAAGAGGTAACACTACATTTCTGGTACTAATTTTAATCAGTTTGGTAGTTTTGTTTTCAAAGGGCAAATTAATCCTTTATGAAACCAACCAATAAAAAATATAACTGAGTAAAGCATATTACTCTGTTCAAGAGATTTTTGTTAAATTTAATTTAAATAGAGACATACCTAAAATAAATTTTCTTATCTTAATAATATGTATGTATATATCAATATGTAATTCTTCTGTACGTGTGTTTCTCTACTCTTCTACTCTCTACTCCTTATAAAGGACTGGACGGATTTGGATGAAATTTTGTGTGTATATTTCAATGGGCTCCTGTGTGGTTTGAAAATAAAAACAGACCCTGTAGGTAGCGCTGCAGTCGGTGTGGCACTGATCATCTCCTAAACGGCAGGGACGATATTAATGATATTTTTTGTGAATGTTCGAGTAGGTCCGTGCAAGGTTTAAATTCACAAATGGATCCAGTAAGTGGCACTAAATTTTCATAAAAGACTCCATTTTCCGAGCAATATATATAATACATTTAAATTGTCGATTAAATTTAAAATAAAAATCGATGTGTGTATGTACGAGTATGTTTCCTATGGACTCCAAAACAGCTGGAGCGATTTTGATGAAATTTTCAGGTACCTAATCTTCAGATTAGCCCAGCGGGTTATCCTGTGAATTTTGTTAGCGATCGGAAGTTTGGACGCGGGCGAAGCCGCGGGTACTGCTAGTACCTATATGAATAGTTATATCGTTGTTGCAGCAAATTATTATAATTTTTCTATTCTATTTTGAGTAAAAATAAAATTCTTGTTTATAATTAACGTACGCATTTTTAGCCTCACTTTTTATTTAATATTTTTAAAAGATCTTAATTACAAATAAAACATATTTACAGATTTGTGTATACAATTACATAATAAGAAAATATGACCATAGTGTATGTAAAATGTACATAATATACTACATAATACACAAGCTATATTATAATAAAAAAATAAGTAAACGTGTAAGTAGTTTCATTGAAACAAATTTTCCATTATTAGTACAATACAATACGCACGTGGGTGTTTCTGTAAGTAGGAATTTCAATATGCAGTCATGTTCTGGCAATATACTCTTATGGTGCTTCCCCGGCATTTTACTTTCATTGCAAGGCGTATGTTTGGACCTTGATCTGTGGGTAATGGAAGTGACATCGCTTAATATCAAATGAAAATATACTTTATGAAAAAAATGATTTTTACAAGCACATTTTACAAGTTTTGAATCATTAAATTTAAATAAAATGTTAGTATGTAAGTCCATGAGGAATTACCTGACTGACTCGAAAGTGTAATAAATAATTATTTCTATTTACATCTACCCCTCTGGGTTCTGTGAATGCAGGGAGAAAACAGCAGCAACTTTACCCATTTACTGAATATTGAAAGGTAGAATGTTCTTATTAGTTTTCGCGTGGAATAGTTACCTATACATTGTAAAAGAATCGAACTCGCGATATTTACTTTTTACGTGATAATCACTTTTTCATTTTTTTAATACATTTCGATTGTTTTTACAAGATAATATTAATTAATTGTTCCAGTTAAACCTTAAAAATAAAATCTTTGCAATAATATATTTACCTATAGATAAATAGTGAATCAATTTTTATTTAAATAAAAATAAATATATTGGAACAAACGTTATGTCTAAAACCATTTCTAGTGTTATATGACATTTTAGTCTATGTTTTCATGCATCCAATATTGCAAATATTGTGCAATATCACTGACTGTAGAATACAAATACCTTTTTTAACCGACTAAAAAGGGTTCTCAATTGAATAGGTATTCTAGTGTGTGCAAATTTTATTTTCAGCTAAAATATAAATTTCCATGTTAAAAAGAATGGTAAAGGTTAAAGAGAAGTAAAATAGTTGATAATATCCAAATTCAGTTTTGGGAGAAAAAGAGCCAAGTTCGACTTCGTTTCTTAAAGATAGATTGTTATATAAACAGACTATGCTTCCTTATTTTTAGCATATTTTGGCATTTGGCCTACTGGAGTTAAAAAAAAACATTAAGTACTAAGTAAAACAAGTCAACTCATACGAGTGTGAGTGACTGACAATGATGCTTCATCTCATTCATGCTACAAAAAAAATAAAACGAGCAGGGTTACTATGCGTTTATATACCGTTCAAGGCCAAGGAAATATATGAATTATGAAGCCCTTAGGGTACATGAGTCAAGTTAACATATTACAAACAATCGCTATTTCTAAAATAAATCTAAAACATCCTTTGTCATTTCTTAACGTCGTATCTCACAAACTTTACGTGATGATAACTCGACGTGATTGAGTGAAGCGTGATAAGATGTCCTCACATTATCATACACATTTGATTAATATATGAAGAATCAACGTTCCTACCAGGGGAGAATACAATCTAATTATACGTCAAAGAAAGTAGGTACACATAAAACTTTGGCGAATTAATTAAGTTGAACTCTTAACAACTCAAACGAGTGATATCTGAATACACATCTCGGCACTCATCGTAAGGGGTGCATTAAGTCTTTGCACTCAAGATCAGATTAGCTCCCCTCAAACCTTTTCTGAATGTAATCGTCACTGTTTTATAGCAGCCCTTAAAGATTTTTTACTATCGAATAAGCTCTAAAAAGTTCTCTCTAAATGTTTTTGCTCTTTGTATAGGTAAATAACATGTTTGCGTATAGAGATGTATATGTAGATACTCGTAGTTACTTAATTTAAACTAGGCTTTATTTACTTTTTGTATATGTATTCTTTTAATAAAAACATAAAAAAAATCAAAACGAAAGAAGAATTTGTAGTAAAAAAAAGACGATAGATTCCTAGAAATTTTATGAAAAAAAAAATGCCCTAAAGTCAATATCCAGGGGTAAAACAAGGGATTACGTTTGTATAGGGTAAGCACTGTTAGTGTTTTCTCTTAAATTTGTTCAAACCGATCGACTATTTTGCTTACTTTGAAAATATTTAAGATCAAAAACCACTTCCCTCAGCATTAAGCTGCTCCCCTTCATAGGGAGTTATTTAAATCAAGATATCTTTAGGGTAACAATTTTTATTCGTTTGTTTTTTTTTTTTGCAAACCCCTAAAACAAATCTGTTAGCCAACGAATGCATAATTATAATAAAATATTAATGTATCATGCCCCCAATGTACTACGAGTACAGTAAAAAATACAAACGATGGCTTTTCGTAATCCCTAGAGTTTTCTTATTCAAATGTTCAGTCTGCTTGAATGCTTCAGCATCGTCATCAATCTCTACTGAGCTCGAACGTGGACCATTTCGCCCTCTCGCAATTATCTACTCGAATAAAAACGTTTTAAGTGTTAAATTAACGATATCTCAGCGGAACGTTAACTTGTCCAACCAAGTGATTAATATAAATGCTGTGAAACTCATCGTTAGGCGCTTAGCGAATACAAAGATGAATATCTCTTAAAGTATTTTTGAATAATTTTTTACCCAGACGTAAATATTTATGAAAATAAATTTACTTGCGTTGTTTCGAAATGATGATCATTAGCGTCCGGCAATCTAGCTGAGTACGAAGCCAAGAAACGTACGGAGGTGGCTCACCTCGGTGGGTGGTGTGCCATGCTGGTTTCTCCTGGTACTTCTCTGATAGCAAAGTGGACCGTGGGAGCAACCTCTTGATTGTGTGGTCTGTATCGGCAGGCCTACCGTCGGAGCGTCGTGGTTGAGTGCGTAAGAGATCCTGCGACGCTTCATTAACGTGGAGGAGGTTCTGTTGCGTTTTAGTGGATAGTATTGGCTTCTCTAGCCGTTGAGTCCCATTTAAAATGAGTAAGAAGTGACGATTTCAGAACATTAATATTTTACTATTCAAGTAAAATACGTACTCGTAGCGAAACACTAGGTATTTGAGAACATGTTTTGGTATTTACATGATATAATGATACCTAAGCTCAAACATCAATTATTAATATTTAGGAGTCTAGACAGACGTAGGTTACTTTTTGGCCCGAGAAAAAAGTTTTATTCTATAGAAAAATGAAGTAAGAGTGTTAATGTAAGGCGTTCATCGAGGCGAGAATAGCTAATAGGTAGTCTTACAGTAGGTAAGTCACATTTATTAAAGTCTCTCATTCCCATTTTTATTTAATATCTTTAAATAATTAGGCATTAAAA